GGGGGGGGGGGAGGGAAGAGAGAAAAGAAACAAAAGTCATACGAGGTCAATTAAGCAAGTATATTTCATTTCCAAAACCATTAATTATTTCATCATGTAATTTTCTTATGTATTCCGAATCCTGAAACACCTTGCATGTGTTGAAAGACAAGATTCTTTTTTCCCCGTATCTTGCGCACGAGTGGTGCCGAAAAAATAAGAAAAATTCGACGAGGATGGGATTCGAACCCACGCGGGCAGAGCCCATTGGATTAGCAGTCCAACGCCTTAACCACTCGGCCACCTCGTCAACATGCAGAATAAGTTAATTGTGTTTGCTATGCATATTTCATGAAAAATTGGTATCTCAGCACTTGGTCTAATGCAAAAACAAGCATTTGTTACATGAAAGACAGTGAAAAAAGTATCTCCCAATGAAACCTCTTTAATTCAGTGAAACCACAAATTCCACAAAAAAACAATAAATGAGTCAAGGGCCAAGAAAATAGCGAAAAGCGAAAAACACTTCTTCAGACTTTGAGCATCATTAAATTTATTCAAATATCCTACCCACTACATGGGAGAGGGGGAGAAAAAGAGAGGTTGCTTTATGGGAGATTTATTCATGCCAGTGCACTCACGAAGTGACTAAGACAGTGGTTCCCAAACCTCGTCCAGTGGGTGGCGACCCCGATTATGGGAACCGCTGGACTAAGAGTTACACGATGCGAGTGGACTTGCAGGCGTAAACCTCCATTTAGGCGCTATCACAGCAGTGGTTTTCACCTCGTGGTCATTTGACGATGAGGCTTTTAACCTTGGTTGTCGCATTCTCCTGCCTGGAGATACAACAAGAACTTGTATTGCATGGTTCGAGGGCTCGATGGTGGATATTTCCGAGTCTGGAGCAAATATCTCAGGGCATCTTTATAATTTATAGTTGAAACAATGCATGCGAGAAATGCTGAGCTCATTTTGAAGACTTGGATAGGCATCAGTGCGTTCACGAGTGAGCAAATTCGAGGCAGTCGCTCTTTCGTTGCCAGGTGAACCCACGAAGAAATACATAATGATACCAGTGATTCGAAGAGATGCCTGACGAGAGCAGCAGGGCGTCCGCCACCGATCACGGGAGCCACGGAAGGAAGTGAAAACGCGTCAGAAGCCCAAGAAAACGGTCCAATAGACCACGTTCACGATGGCGAAGGAGAGGGGGAAAAGAACCCTGGAGAATCGATCGATGAAGATGGCCCGATCTCGGCAATATTGAATCACCACCTGCCGTTGACTGCACGAAACCCGGCCGTTCGGGAAGATTTTATCCACGTCGTCGTTCGCCTTCAGCTCCTCCATCTGGTATGATTCCCCTTCTTGCTGCTGGGAGGAAGAAAAAGTAGGATGGGTTCCAACTCTGATCGCCAGATGTCATGAGTGATCCCTACAGTCGTCTATGGCCGCTCCCACCGTGAGTACGCCTGCCTACGTGGTGTCGAGCGAGATTGCTGCTCAATATGAGGTTAATAGGAAAGTGATACGGTGTGACACGTGTTCCCTCGAGGTCTAGATATTCGTGCCAAGTAGTGTGTGTCGTCTGGACAGGAAGCATTGGGAAACTACGAAGCTCAAGGAGCAATGCCTTGGCTCATCGAAAGCATCATTCGAGACGACTAGTCTTACAACTGTTCGTTTCTCGGCCAGGTACAGTATGAGAACTTATATCGTCCTACTGTATCTTCAAGTCAGTCTTTTAAACAATATCAACGTCAAAAAACTTTTCCTGGGGGCCCGGAAGGATTACCATGTTTCCTTCTGAACTCCAGTACTCATTCTCACTAATGGTGCGTGATGCTTCTCGAGGACAAAACCAGTTCCGGGCCGCAAAATCGCCAATTTATGACGCAAAACATAGGCTGCGGTGTCGGCTTGAATGAAGGCAGACGTAACCTTTCCAACTCCCAATAATGGAATATTAGCGATACGGTAAAAGGGTATAATATGTTCGATGTTGCGACATTATGAAATCCATGCGTTAGCGTGACTAGGCCTGCTTACGGCCCGTGCGGTAGCGTGCCTAGCCTAATAATTGGATGGGCTCCGTATCGTTTTCAAGTTTCTTTTTAATCCTTTCAGAACAGCAAACAAGTTATGGGATTTCAAATAGAGGTTCACCTGAATGCACGCGATGCGAGAATCTCCCGTGCAGATCAAATGAAAAGACTGCTTCGCAGCATATTATCTCGCGTTTTCCTCGCAACGTATCGAGTAGGAACTCCGTTTCGTGCGCACTATAGCCCGAGTTCTCGTTGACCCCCAGAACGACCGTGATTGGGAAGTTTTCGTCTGAGTGTGGTGCTAAATACCTCAGTATAAAATATCCTCTCAAACTGCGGGTGGAGAGAGATAGCAAAGGACATTAAGATGTCACGCAGCTCTGGGACAAGAGAGAAAACTGGATGAATTATGAGGGGAGTGGGGAAGTGAGAACGGAAATCAATGGCGGTGCATCTCTTCCTCTGATGGACTGCATTATTTAAAGCGTGAAGCGTGTTACGCTACGCTAAGCAATGCATTCGTTGAGACGGGCCGCTGCCAACGTCTCTGCATCGATGAAGGTGGCGGACATGTTGATGTGTGAAATGTACCCGAGCAGAAGTATTATGCACCATATGAAATAAAGCGAGTAGGTTTTATTCATGTACTTGGTCAAGGGGAACCCCAATACAATGGTTGCGTTATTGTGTCCAATCATGTATGAGGTACCTGTACACAATGTACTGTACACAATTCATGTTACCTGCAACTGAGCTATTGGCTTGATTTCCCTGGTTCTGGTAAAAATTTGATGCAATATCTTCTTCCAACAGTTGCTAAAATAATTTTTAAGATTTTCGAAACCTCAACTATAATGTAAGGTGTTGCAGTGCATCAAGAAATTCCCGGTTGTTGTGCTACAACCCCATAGCGCGATTTTCTGTGCTCCCAGCAAGGAGAGAGTGTCAGAATTATTTACGGGATCAAAGAAAACCTTGCCAGGAAAGAGAGAAGGCCGACTGGTTCATTGGTTGCTTCGTACAAACGATTCACGCGGACGGACTCCCTCTCGCATTAAGCGATTGCAGGAGGAGGCGGGGAGGGACGGATTTTCTCCCTTCAAAAGGGAGACAATAAAAAGACTTGCTCCATGCGCCAGCCTCATGGCCGCACGTTTCTCCTCCGATCTCCCATGCAACTTTCCAGCCTGTCTCCTTTCTCTTGACCGATCGATCGATACATCTGATTTGTATGCGTTCAACTCTCCTGGAATTTGAGTTTTATGATTGCTTAAACCTTCCAAAATAGCAAGCATTTTCATGTCTTGATTCTTTGAATAATACATTTTAAAAGTCGAAAGCTTGGAGAAAATGATGTTTTGAGATGAGCTATTTCAGTGTTTTGTAGCTTTTTTTTTATCACAAAAATGAACACCTAAGGAGAGATTATGAGTGTTGTATATCATGAGTTCCCCCCCCGCCATCCGCTTTNGTATAAGAAAGACACACTCGCCGCACTCTTCCCCCCCCTCTCTCGTTCCCCCCCCCCCTCCCCCTTCCCCCCCCCCCCCCCCCGCGAGGATTTGTGGATTCTCAGGGCGGGATCAGGATCCTTTCTTGTATCGATCAGGAGATGAAAAAAAGCGCCAATAAATAGAGGAGGGAGGAAAAGCATTTCGGAGAGGCGACAGCGGGAGTCATAATTTCTTGTTTCCCATTATCCGTAGGATATTGTCGCATCCATGTTACCGAATGTCAGAGTTGTCAAAGTGCATCTCCCCGTGACGATTCAAGTCTCCCCACGACTTGTGAGAGATAACTTGAAAAGTAGTGGAGTGGTTACCATGCGGCAGAGGATGTCCTAAGTTCCAACTTCAATGCCCGCCACCGATCGATACGGGGATGGGTTCTCAATTCCGCTCCCTCTCACAGAAGGGAAGCGGGAAATGTAAGCATTATACTTCAGGACAACTGGTTCAATGGGCGATGAAAAGCTCGGATAAAGGGAGGGGAACTCAAAACGTACAGTACCCGAAATCATCGGAATATACGCCTTGAAGTAGAGGATAACTTGAGACACTTCAACGAGTTGCAAAATCCAGGTTGAACATTTCGTAGAATAAAAGGAGCAGAGGTGGCAGTTGAAACATTCATAACATATGGAAAAGGCCAGATTTTGATCCGTTTAATCCTTATTTTGGATCGCGTTTAATTTCCCCGCTAATTTATCCCTTTTCCCATACTGGGTCACTTATGTTTCTATTTCTAGCGCGCCAACTTGCCGGTAAAGGAAAAGACAGAGCAGCTTCTCCCGTTTTCCCATCCGTGGATTTCTTTGAACCTAATTCAGTTTCTCCAAAGAATTCTGAAGAACGACTTAGTTGCTTTGTATGCTAGCTATGGGCCTCAGGAGTTCTGACGAAGGAAAAATTATACATTTTTCCAACTGTCGGCTCCTTGGAGCCCTAGTAAGCTGATCGTATAATACCGATAAGGTAGAGGTAATTTACTAGTAATTATCAATAATTTACTGATAAGCTACCAATAAGTAGTGCCCCACTCACCTAGGAGTAGTTTTACTACACCACTTAAAAGTGAAATGCCTTCTGTGCAGGCTTATCAGCAGAGAGAAAGCCGTTGCTCTACCTTTGTACAAAGCAAGTTCCGTCAATCTTGGAGCATTGTTCCAGAGCCCGGTTTCCGTTCACGAGAATGAGCACGAAAACGATAGAGCTTAGAGCGAACTGAATAATTTAGCAGGTCAAGGGGCTTTCCTTTGATATTAGAGATTGCAGTTTTTGTTCTTTATCCTTTAGAGCAGGGTTGTGTGCATGGGACCCGAATGGAACCCGACTGGCCTCTTTCCTGCAATCGCTATAGGATCGTTGCTGAAAGTCTAACTGCGAAGCAGTATCAGTATGAGATTTCTGGAGGCAGTGAAATTTCCTTCATGCTAATTGTCAGTTCAAATTACACCTTTCGTGAATGATCACCAGATCCTGGATAAAGGAGGTGCGTTCGTGTGTGTGTGTGGGGGGGGGTTACACGCGTTGAGATTCGTCACTCTGCTGAAAATTAACATGGGAACGCCTCTTTCAGAATCGATAACGTGGAGCGAAGTAGGTTTTCTTAAACTTGATCGTAACGGATGAACGAAGGAGAGTCCGGTCAAGTTGTGTTATCTCGAAGTGAGGTTTAGGTTGTAGAAGGAATTCTTTCCTCGTGGAGTAGTGAATGCATGGAAGGTGGTAGGTGATGCAGTGGTTGGCCCTTCCGTGACTATAGTCACGGAAGGGCCAACCACTGCATCACAGCCACTGCGTCATTCCTCGACATAAATTATTCTTAACTGCACTGCATAACTTCATCTAAAGGTCTTCTTAAGAAGAAGTTAGATGCCGTCCAGTACAAAGCATGAAACATGGAGCAATATAGCTGTTAGAGAAGTAAGTAAAAAATGGATATACTCTTACAAAGTGTACCGGGTGAAGCAAAATTTCCACGCCGATCTTTGAAAACTTGTGGCGCCTCTGAAACAGGAGCTAGCACAATGAAGTTTCAGTCATGCATGCGCCTATGCATCCTTTAGCCATCGTAACATTTTTGCCCGCTTATCTCAAACCATTTCAGCACACGAGTGATTTTACAAAAGCAACAGGAATTTACTTCAGAATCTGCTGAGCAGATGCATGGCTCGTCCTTACGTCTGGCCGTTTGCAGAAGGGATTTTTTTATTCTCGGAATTATCATGAGAACCAATGGTTTCATCCACATTAACGGTTTTCTTCAGTCTTCCGCTCCCTCTCTTCCTTTCAGATAAATCGGTTTCTCGCAGCTTGTGAATCAGTCTCTTAACGATAGGCCTACAATTCTTTCATCCTTCACCAGGAGGTTCTTGAAAAACGTTTGCTCCGCCCCATCCTTTTGCAAAGAGCAGCTTTTTCATGATCAGACGGGAGCTCTGGCCAGATTGGAGCGCTTAACGCGTACCAACCGCTCTCCCGTCGGTATGTTTCCTTGCGCAAAAATAAAATTCCAGTTGCCTTCGCGTTATCGCCTTATGTGCTAAAATGGCTGGAGGAAAATGAAAAAGAATTTTAGATCGTTTAGAAGCTGTGTAGCTGTCGTTGCAAAAAAATATTTGCCGTGCCATCTGCTATATCAAGAACTCCAAAGAATCTCAAAGAACGACGTCCTTATTTTTTCCTCACCCGGTGGGTCCCTAGACAAGCAGACCCATCTCATATGAGCCCTCGATCTTGACTCGGGAGGCCAATATAGGCAGAAATGTCTCTTTACATCCTCACCAAAATCTTGAGATATGACTCTTATCCTTCTTTCCCTTCTTATTGCCTTCTTTATGTCGCTCTCTATATTTTTCTTGCAGGAACGAATTGCCTGATTGGTGGTATAGTTTCTTGCGGGTAGCTGGGATGATAGGAAGTAAGATTCATGGAGTTATTTAGCAGTTCATCTTGTGGTGAACGCAGTAAGGACCAGAGGCCTCGCCTCACGTGAATGAATGAAAATGAATCAATCACAGAATATGTCATCTTAACTCTCCCACCCCTTCCGCTCCTTTCCTCTCACGCTCCTGGCGTCCCACTCCAGAGTAATGATCCTCGTCCCCTCTCTTAACCTCATTTGAGACTTGATGCACCTGTGTGTGGAGTTTCCTATGACATGGGCGACCATGCCTTGAAAGAAGGGTGACTACATGAAAGTTTTACTCCCGTCTTGAGTACGAAAATAAAAACCGAGGAGTCATAGTGTTGATGATGCAGGCTACTCTCACTCCAACGGCTGGTCAACTTCGTCAAGTGGCCTTTGAAACAGCAACGCTCGCAGTTGGTTTTGATTTTGTACCATGAAAATGTCGTGATCTCGTCAATCACGATCCAAGGCCTTTACTTCAGTCATAAATATTCCGATTTAGGTCGGTGAACAAAGACGTCTAGAGAAAGAAAAGCGATTGAGAAGAAGCTTTTAAAGTGGAAAAAGTCGGTTTTGGTGACATGGTCGATATCCTTTTGCCTTGTGACGCGTATGCAGAAAGTCCGAGGAGAGGGATTTGGGCACACAAGCTTAGTTGTGTCTAATAGTTATGTCAGTTGTGTTGTGACAATACGAATCTGTTGATTCGTATTTAGGGATAGGGAACGTTCGCAATTTCTGATTGGTTCTCAGTACCTGCCTAGTCAGAGTCCAAGGACGATCGTTGGGCCGTGTGGGCGCGACTATTGGATCCGCTTCCTACGACCGATTTCCTGTACGATGCGTCTCCGACAGAAAATTGAATCATGTGCAGCCTTAAGGTCTTCCTCTCATCAGGTTCTGACTCGATATTCCCGTTCGTTTCCACAGTCTGCTTAGTTTCGTATGTGTCACTCGATCGAAGTGCAATGGCCCTCCAGGAATGCTGTGGTTATCACTATTACGCTGTTATCATTATTCGACAAAATTGTCTCATGCTTTCAATGTAGTGAAATAAACATGGCGTGCAATCGGCAGCCTATTGCACGCACTTGGCAACAAAATTTCTCATGCGCACAATGGTTGCATATTTCATTGAATACGCAAAGACATAACTCAATACGCGCAATGAGAGGCTGCACGAATCACGCATAATGTATCCAGTCCAGTAACCTCTCAATTCCTTTCGATCACCTTATCATATTATCTATCGGTCGTATCTCCATATTTTCTTACTTTTACCGGATCAAGAGAGATCTACCTAAACCTAATACAAACTTCTCCATCTGGAGACGAATCGATCTCTGATGGGGTCGGGCCATGGCCAAGTTCCGGTTCGGGTTCGAACTGAGATATCAGCATTGAACACTTGCCTGCTTCCCGACACTTCCAGACACGTATATTCCTGAATCGAATTAACGAGACCCGTCAGAAAAAAAAAAACAAAACAAAGAAGGCTAATCGCTGGTGTCACGCATTCGGCCGAGAGCAGTCTATATGTACTCCGGCTCTATTCATCATAATAATGTTAGGTCAGAGGACACGACCACACAACCTAAGGGATAATTAGGGTGAGATGTCTCTCTTCCTAACGCCGTGTGTCAAAGGTTCCCAACCTTGGAGATGCGACAATAAAAAAAGGGGTTGCGAAGCCCCGCTGGCAGAGTGATTTTTATTACCGCGTTAGAAGCAGTGATTTACAAGCATTCGTCATAATGCCATATTTTCGACAGGCGAATGTTGATCTTGTCTGTGCATGATGTTGGGGTCGCAGGAATTTGCAGCTGTCTGAATTAGGTCACATTAAGGGAAAAGGTCGGAAACAGCTGCCGTATGTCTTCAGTTTTCATCATGAAAAGTGTTACTTTTGGGGGTACGAAAGTACCTCTACTGGTTTACGTAAAAAGTCTTCCCTTGTTTGACTGAATAATCTTATATTAATACGTATCCAAATCATAAGGGAAAACTATCCCGTAAAATGACGGCCATGAATAATGACGGAGGAGGAAGCGCGACCAGCAGCCAGTAAATTTGTCAGGTACAATATGACTCAATTGTCCTAATGTATGGATGGAGGGATCGAATCCGCAACCTCAATGATTAATACCGTTAAAGAAAACCCTGGCATAACCTAATTCTTTGGTGATTCGGGAGCAGGCAAAATTGGATAAATCCTACTGAAATGTACGGGACTGCGAAAAGATTGAAGGAATTCCCTTTGTACTGCAGTATCTCATCTGGTGATAGGTAGAAACAGAAGAATCATCTTCAAAAGAACTGTCCGGCATATTTTATCCCTTTCGCTCAACTCGTGCCCAATTAGGCATAGGGGCTGAAAACAGATTTTAATTATTTCACGCATGTTTCCCGCATAAATGCATTCTTAAGTTCTTGTCCTGAAGCAGAGGATCCACCCCGACATTGTCAGCCCATTTGTAACCATGGCAACTAATTATAGCTGTGTCGGGGGGGGGGAGTATTTTGAAGTTTGAGGTTGATTTACATATTGGGTGACATGAATGTTTTATGCGAAAAACAAGCAGGAACTAATTCAGTACTGAAAAGGTGTATGTGCACAGGGCAACGCTGTTTTATATGTTCTGACACGCCCTCTTGAAACACCAGCATTCGATAGCATACGCGGTATAGTAGATCTACATGTCCCCACAGCCGTACCGGGAGGCCATTCATACATTCAACTGAAATTGGTTTTGTTCGCACTCACTGCTTCACAGGGGCGGCGTCGATGAGAGAGTTTCCTTGACATCTGGCGAATTCTTTTCTTTACGTATGCTTCGTCCGAATCCACCAGATCTCCCATGACCACGTTCACCAAAGCGTATTCCATCAAGGAACAAAACACGAATATGGTACAAAAGGACATGAAGAAGTCGATAGCCTGCGGGGAAACAATAATATTTTTCATGATCGTTTATTGATGAGTGAGTGTTGAAGTGGATGGGTTCCCGGGGATTCACCTTGATATAGGAGACTGGAGGGAGGGATTTCTGCGAGTTGGCGTGCTGGGTGGAAAGGGTGAGAAGAGAGGTGACACCCAGGGTAACCCTGGCAGGTACGGCCTCTGGTTTGATCCAGAAGGAGATCCAGGACATGATCACGATCAAACATGTCGGCACGTACGTGTGGAACAGGAAATAGCCCAACCGGCGTCTGAACGTAAACACCACCTCCAAACAGGTGAAGTTTCCTAAGAATCATAGGAAATATCATTCCTCGTCAAAAAAGGGACTCGTGAAGGCCTTCGTATGGTGGAATTTTCTACTCGGTTGGTTTCCAATTAATTAATCCCTGTTCGCTTATTGCAACCAAGTTGCCTGTCATAAGATTACGGAAGTAATTGATTCGGTAATGTAGAAGCGTTCCGCGACTTCAATAAAGCTAGGCAATCTTGAAGCTTGTTATTCCTTCAACGCTGCAATTGGGTTTATCACAGGTAGCAATTGATAATTCCACCTCTAGGTGACGGTCTTCAACTTCAAAGGAACAGCAAGCTTCATAAGCGTTTGGTCCATTTGGACTTGGAATATTTTCCATCTCACCGATTAATGAAGGGTTTAACAACCCACAGAAAGGCAAAGCTAAAGGTAAGTTTACCATTGACGAATAATTTAATATTCAGGAAGTACTATCTGCGCCATTTCGGCGAAAGTATGTTTGAAAAATTTTCAAGTTGGTAAGCACTTTGTTGCGAGTCCGTCTTATCGTACCTGTAGAATAGCGCATGGTGCAGTCTCCGGTGCGATTCTCAACCAAGTCGAATTGAGGTAATTCAATACCCGGATCCACAACGAGGGGCATTAACAGGTCCCATTCAAAAACCAGGTCGTCTGTCGTGTACGAAACTGCCAGAAGAGTAAAGAAAGGAAAAATATCGTCAACAAGATAAATTTTGCTTTCGCAGATGTTCTTTTTTTGGCATTAATCAGCGGAGTTCATTTCATAAGAAATGAATTACCTCGCTTAATCACAAGGAGCTATATTTAACATAGATGCAAATGCATGCGAGTCTTAATGGAAACGTATCAGAGGGAGGAAAAGCTAGTGCAGTGAGATCAAGTCGAGCGCAACGCCATACATTCAGATAAGGGAGCGTATCCATTAGCTAGACCAAGTCGTCCTGAATCAATACTATATGTCTTCTTCCCATCCGTCCAGAGATAGCTCCTGCTCATTATTCAGTCGTGCATGAGGTGGTTCCTAGTAAGACCAAATTTCGTGGAAGAGTAGCCGAATCCAGTTTTTAATTTTGGCTATTGATAATACCCTTCTTGTACCCTAAAGAGAAGGAAAGAAACTCACTGCTTTCAATCTTCATGGTGCACACCTGGGTGTCGTGAGGGTACTTTTCGAAATTCATGGCACACGATAGGACCAGAGTGAGCCTAGGAAAGCAGAAAGATAGTTTTTTTAAATTTCCATTTAGTTATCTAGTTGATTTTCAAAATGATATTTTTTTTTAAATGAAAATGTTCCATTTCAGGTTTTGTTCGGCTTCGGTCGTTAACCGAAAAACGTAACCTAAACCTAAACCTAAAAAAACCTAAACGTTAGTAATTTTTCATGGGAAGTTAATCGATGAATGCCTCTTTTGAGGTCTTTCCTTTAGAATCCTTCTCAGGATTGTAGATGGAGATCATTAGCCAATTTATGCTGTTTTCTAGCTCTTCCAAGTTTCAGTTGGTTTTACATCATCTTTGTCTTTTCTTCGTGCTTTGAACCCTCCAGGAGTCTACTTTGAATCTCGGAGCTTGTATTGGCAAACGTCTAAGTAAGAGGCACAGAAAATCTGTTCAATCACAAGAAAAATTGGAGAAATTGGGAGAGTCAAAATGAGGGGAGAGAAGGATACCTGGGAGGAAGGTTTGGATGGGGAGCAAAATAGGGAAATGCGTTTAATGAGATTAAGGTGGGAGAATAAGAGAAATGGGGATTAAATGAGGGAACAAGATTCCCTCTTTCAAAATGTTACCATTTTAATTAGTTGAAACCTGGGAACTGTAATTGGTATATCCTTCATGAACAAATGTCTTCCAAAACTTATAAATTCAATTTGATAAAGTGAGTAGTTTTGCTCTTATAAAGCATTGTTCAGATAATTGTTTTCCACTTTTGTATCCATCCGTACGCATGGATATTGCACAGACATTGAAAGCTATTGGAAGGGTGCACCGAAAAGCAACTAAAATGCCTGTGCAGGCTGGCGATAGGGCTTTCTCTTGAGGAAATATTACATCCAATTCATTAGACGAGGCTATTAGAAGGGGAGATCAGGTTGTGACAGTTAAATTACTTCGGGAATTTATTAGCATAAATTGGAGTGAATTTTAGATTTACCAAATAAGCCCAATTTCCCTGTGGAAAATGCCCCTTTAAGGCAATTTTAGTCATTGCTTAAAATTGCAATGTCGAGGAACGGTAATGGGAGATATATGGCTACTTATCTATTTCCTTATATTAATACAGGGATTCTACACACAGGATAGAACGCGGATAGATAGGATCAGAACGCGGAATTGGGGAGTACTCCGACTGCAAACATTAACACTCTGAACTCCAATTTTAAAACTTGCGCATATTCAACTTTTCAAGAGAGAGGAAAGAGCCAGCAGTACGAAAGATCGAGAGTCCATTTTCATTATTCTTTTGGAGTAGTTAGATGATGGTCTGGAGAACAGGGACCATCTCTTTTTCCTCACTTCGCTGCTTCCTCTTCGTACTCTCACAAAAGGTTTTGTATGCATGAGCTGAACGCATGGGAGAAAAGATGCGCTGCCGCAAAACGTTTTGTATGCATGAGTTGAAGAATGCTCGAAAGAAAATATGCATTTCATGCCAGTCAGTTAGTAGCATGAAATGCAACAGGAGCGCAATATGCGTCTTGGGATTCTTTTCTGAATTTACAGAATATGGCAAAAAAATATGGCAACGACTTTCAGCTTAAATATCTTCCCTCCCAATAGAGTTATTTTCACGAAACTCATTGCATATCTGTATAGTCGAACTCAGTTATAAAGTTATCGGAGGGACCAGGGAAAAATCGTCGTTATAACCGAGGTTGCTGGTAGTGGAGTAGAGGACACACTCAAGCCCCGTCCCTAAGAGGCGACAAAGCAGGCGGGTAGGTACTACCAGCAGGAGCTCTTGTCCATTCTCAATGTCTAACTTCTTTTCAATAATTGTTGATAGAATTGCTTCGGCGCAACAAATTTGGGTGAAATTTGAGATATCAGTCGGAAACATACTCATATATGCAATGTGTAAGTTTCCCGAAAATAACTCTATTGGGAGGGAAGATATTTAGGTTGAAAGTCGTTGGTCTTTTTTTTTGCCATACCCTGTATATTTATCTTGTAAGACCTCAATGATGGAATCACCCGATAAAGTCAGACTCACTTGACCATGTACAAGATGGTCTTGTCCCCGTAGAGCCAGATGTAGTGATTGGGAATGGTCATTTCTTGGAAAGTAACCTTTTTGGCGTTTTTGAAGAAGGAGTCCGGTCTCCAAACGTCCTTGAGCCAGACTATTGGAAGCAGTCGGTAACCGGAAGTCATGTTACCGGAAGCCATCGTGTCGTCTGGAAGCCGGAGCCGGTAATCCTTCCAACTCTGGGCGAAGAAGATGTCCGCTGCATAGGTCTGGAAAGGTGCCAAGAAATCCATTGTCTCCTCTATTCCGTACTTCTTTTACTCCTTCTTCCCCCCTCAGATCTGTCAGCCGTGGATGGATGCAGTGGGGCGTAATGAGGCTCTCTTATAACAATATGGTTGCGCACACACCGATTAATCGCGACAATTTCATCAATTGCACCAACCGTGCAATTGATAACATTGTTGCGGACCGTCATTTTCCTTGTCTGATGAGAAACTTCCTGATCATAACTCGTCTGCAATACTAATTTCCGAAGTTACTACATGCGTAATTATTTGCGCCTGCAGGGAGAAATCTATTCTAGGGACAGTGCGGAAGGCATGAATATTCTATGAGGAAACTGTGATTGGGTTTCACGAGACGCCCTCTGAGTGCATGGGGCAGAGAGAAGGATTAGTCCTACTCCATGATGAATGGAGTGAGAATTCGTATTCGGGGCCTGGAGTTTTTCTCCCATTTAGAGCACGTGTGAAATTACCATTTTATTGTGTCGAGATGTACAGGAAACCTGCAACTATTTCACTTAAGATTTTTCAATACATGAAGTCAGTAATTTTCCAACGAGCATCGAAATATTCCTCCTTAATTTAAAGAGACGCAATATCGTCACGTCAGTTCAATAAGGTTCTATCTGCTTGTCGGGCAAATTTGAAAAGAAATAACATAAAAATTCTGCCCCTTCTCAAGGTTTTAATTTTAAACTTTCACCACTTCTGCTTCAAAGTAGCGTAAATTATTCGTGTTCAATGCAATAGCAACACATTGCATGGAAAATATTTTAACGAAGATGATCACTTTTGAATAGGGCCAATTTTCCTTTTCTAAAAAGACAGATAGAACCTTGTTGAAACGAGGTGACAATTATTTCTATTGCGTTTATCAATCATCGTAGTTGAAGAAAATGGAATCCAATTCCTGCCTAGTTCGAAAAGGCTGGAAGACCGAGAATGTTCATTTGCTGGACGTTAATTTTTTTTTAGCTCTGGAATCCTATAATCAATCACTTGATAAATAAAGAGACGCCTTTGGGATATTGAAAGACGGTTCTTGTCCCGGAGTTTCCATTGATGACAGACATCGATTCCTCTTCTTTTTTTTTTTCCTCTAACCCTTTAAATAGAAGCACAAAAATCTTTTTTTCTTCTTCTTCTTCCCCCACTCGACTGATCTTTCTCAATGGCGTGATTGCGAGGAAGATTTTCTTCAAAATGGATGACAAGAGAGAGAAGTAGATCGAAAGAAAGTCAGACGCCTCGATTTTAAATCTCGTGATTGTAACGTGCTTGTAACGTGCTTGTGTGTTAAAGCAATCGAGTTCCATTACTGTTCCTGTCTCCAATTTTTCGTGCCTTCCATCTCCTTCATCATCGTATGCAAATTGATGGCGATTCAATCAAGGGGAGAAGTCGCTTCGAAGGAACTCTGTGGAAGAAGTAACTTGCAAGCTCGTCTTACTGTTTCGCTGTGTTGGACTTCAAAATAGCTTTATTTTCATAATTCCATGATTATTCATATCGTCGCGTGATTTGCCAAAGGTTTTTTTTTCTCTCTCTATGATTGTTGAACTCACCATGGAGCTTTCGTCGATGGAGTCCAGACTCATGACTGTGACGTGGAACGACACTATCGTCGGCTTGCCTGAAATACAATACAACGTGAGCAGATTGTATCCAACCGGAAATTCTTCTACAGAGAATATTTGGTTTCATTCCTGACTTTGCTTAAGATGCTCCAACAGGGAATAAGATATCCTTTGAGAAAAAGTTGACAATAATTCATGCAGAGGGTTGTAATGACCTCGAGAGTAGTGTTATTTCGTTATTCGTAAGCGTAGAATGAAACTGTACGCGTACAGTAGTCACTAAGGGATTCGTGCGTGATAAAAGAAAAAGTTGAAATTGTCACCATTGTGCACACAGCATAATGTGTACGGAGCGGCTGGCTCTTGCATCTTGAAATACTGACATTACTATTTACATAAAATATGCCAACTATATGAGGACGGATCAATTGCTCAACTGCTCAAATATGACCAAAAAATTATCAAATATGACCTCATAACTTGGTGGTATTGAATCAAGGTCAGCAAACTCTGAACGCCGAAGGTCACGAAACCTTTTAGGGGAAAGTGCATCCTAAGTGAGCTCACGACAGCTCATTCTACTCTCACTGGCGCCATCCAGAACGCCAGGATTCATGTACGAGGGAGTAGAAAAATGACTGTGCCTGGAAATCCATCCCCTGACCATAACGAAAAAAAATGAACGATCGAGAAACAGCTGGCGGTACTGTCTCATACATCTTTCCTTCATCGCCTGTCGAGACTCCTGTAAGAGGCTTCGTGCATTGTATACTAAATCAAAAAGACGAATCGAGTTTTTCACCGAAATGGAATTCACCGCGATCGCGGCATGGAATTCCGAGCAATGCATGAGAAAAGAATGACTATACCCACTAAAATAAGCTCGCGGAAGCGTTTTTTTTTTTAATGGGATATTTTAGATTTTCAGATACTGCTCTTGGGTAAATACTAGGTCTGTACCGATCGTAAATACAAGGCTGGCCGATGTCCGGAGACCAGGCATCAACCGAATTAGACGTTTTCCATGAAACTGGCGAAACCAATCTTGGGCTAGCCTGTTTCCCTTTTTTTCCCCAATCTTATTTAAATTTTGTACGCCCAACACGCATCGCATCTCTTCCCCCTCCTTCAATTTCCCGGCATTTCTTGGCAGGCTGGGGTACTTCTACAAGTAGACAGTGACAGATGCTATCTGCATTTATTCCGAGGAACGGAATTCGAAACTTGAAATTGACAGCACGTGGCTAGAAGCGAGGCGCCTTCAAGAGCGAAACTTCTTCCCACTAAATGGCAAGCGAATAAAGGAGCACGTTTGAGAGGCAGCTGCGTTCCCATTGAATCTTCTAAGAAGCCCTTGTTTAAATTTTCTTCAACAACTGATTAAATCTTGAATAGGCCTGCTTCTATTAAATGTGCAGAGGCCTAACGTTAACGCTATGCATAAGTCTCTTGATGCAGCCTTCGCATGCAGTATGATGTGCTTACGCTGAATGTAGGTTGCGCTTGACGTATGATACATACTAGTACTCCATATGGCCTATCCTAATTGAGAACTTTGTGTTCGTCTTTATCCAATGTAGTAGTTATGCGAAATGCTAAAGCAGTACTGTTACATAGATTCAGACAAATGCCACAAACCAGAGGTAATGTAGATCTCGTCCTTACAATTGAGCATCTTTCGTGAAAACAAGATGTGATACTTCGTGGTTAGTTTCTTTTGTGGTTTGAAGTGCTATTTGTTGAGATTTATGGTGATTTTTGATAAACACACGATATCAACCAGCAAGTCATTGCAATGGTTTTTCACTTCATGCTCAATGTAGAGCTGACGCACCTAAATCAAGTTAATGTCGCCTTGGTGATACCAGCTCTGCAAAAATGACCTATCCTATTGACAAGCACAAAGACCAGTATCGGCATCGGTCATCTTTCAGGAAGAGATATTGAAAATCGGCATATCGGCCACATTTTCGTATCGGTAAAGCCCTAGTAAATACATTTGCTGAAAGTTGTTTGCACTTCTTTTAGTAAATTCATCCTCCTCTAGAAGACTCTACCGTCTCCTGAAACTTTACTATTACAAGAAAGGGAATTGGGTATAACTAAAATTGACAATGCAGCGAACAGAATCGTACACCCCTGCTGTTCACTACCTTTTTGAATTACAGTATTCATATTCAGAGACAATTTATTCAGTGTTTTCATTCACAAAAAAATTATAGTCTTTCCTAAAAACCTTCATCGCATCAAATTTTGATCAAGTCCGTTGAAACCGGTGTCTATTTTGGCATCGATGGCCATTTGCCGTTTCAGTGGGCTGTATGCCAGTGCCCAGAGATGGATGAACTTTCAGAATAAAGGGCCATGAAATCCCCTTTGATATCCCATCAGATGTCTTGGACACGTTCGATTTGTCATGACTTGACAGAAGAATCTGGCTATTTTGATTGATCTTTTTCTTGGGTCGTATGCAAAGACAGGGTGCGATGGCCAGTTGTTACCCAGTTTCTCTATGGAACTGAGAATTTCACCCCGATTAATGTGCTTATGAAACATCTGCAGCTTCATTTGGCTCACAACCACGCCTAACATTGATCGCCTGTTTCCATACTATTCTTCGTAGTCGCTTATTGCTTACCAGCGCACTAACTGGATGACTTGTGTAGAACCAAAATTGTCCGAAGTGTCCAAGGTATTTTCAACCAATGCCGTTCGAATTTGAAATGATGCGATATAGATTTAATTTGATAAAGTGTGTCGCGGGGTTGTACTTCGGTGTAGCTGGATACAGCTAAGGTTTGATTTGAAGCAGAAAAATGATAATGTGCATCAATATTCAATTTGAATTGTTGAAATGATCAGATGCGAGGTGCAATTTGTTGGATGACAAATAGAAAAGCTTGGTTGTAAGTCTTAGGATTTTCCTTCGGGCTGGCAGCCTTCCAACTCCCGAGAAAGGGCAGACAAATGATTATCAATGGTTTGAAAGATCGTCAAGCAAAAAGAAGTGCTAATTGCTTGATTGTTTCTTATCCCGAGAATTTCTTTAGTCTCATTCCTTGAGCACGATTTTTCTGGACTTTGTTACTTTTATATTTTTTACTCTTTTGGGGGCACCTCAGCTGTTCGATGAAGATATGATGTCTGAACACTGGCAGTTTACTTGAGAATTCGCCCGTGATTTTCATCTGGGCATTTACCTTACTCATTAGTTTTTTTGGTCTTTGAAGTAAATATTCAAATGGTCCAGAAAAATGTTTGATATATTTTCAGAGCGTGCGAGGAGTAGATTTCTCATTACCTCTAGAACATCCTTTGCTGTACCGGAAGTAAGATAACCCTGGGTTTGGAGTTTTCCCAATAGCTGAAAGTATCGATCTGCTGGCACTGGGTCAAGGGCATCTTTTCCCATGATCATGGGAAAGCGCG